TGATAGTCATAGGGTACAATAAGAATAGAATTAGAATAGAATAGAATTAGAATAGAATAGAATAGAATAGAATAGAATAGAATTCTTTATTGGCCAAGTCTGATTGGACACACAAAGAATTTGTCTTGGTGCAAATGCTCTCAGTGTACATAAAAGAAAAGATACGTTCACCAAGAGTCAAGAATCAGGTGCAACACTTAATAATAGTCATAGGGTACAATAAGCAATCAAATCATACTAGGAAACAGTCAATATAAATCGTGAGGATACAAGCAACAAAGTTACAGTCATACAGTCACAAGTGGGAGGGGATGGGTTATAAGGAGTGATGAGAAGATTAATAGTAATAGTAGTGCAGACTTTGTAAATAGTTGGATAGTGTTGAGGGAATTATTTGTTTAGCAGAGTGATGGTGTTTAGGGAAAAACTGTCCTTGTGTCTAGTTGTTCTGGTGTGCAGGGCTCTATAGCATCATTTTAAGGGTAGGAGGATGTGAGGGGTCTAAATATTTAGACCTCCAGGATGTGAGGGGTCTAAATATTTTCACAGCCCTTTTTTTGACTCGTGCAGTATGCACGTCCTTGATTGAAGGCAAGTTGGTAGCAATTGTTTTTTCTGCAGTCCTAATTATCCTCCGAAGTCTGTGTGTGTCCTGTTGGGTTGCAGAACCAAACCAGACAGTAATAGAGGTGCAGATGACAGACTCAATCATTCCTCTGTAGAACTGGATCAGCAGATCCTTGGGCAGTTTGAGCTTCCTGAGTTGGCGCATAAAGAATATTCCTTGTTGTGGTTTTTCGATGACGTTTTTTGATGTTAGGTGTCCATTTTAGGTCATGTGATATAATAGAACTTAGAAATTTGAAGGTCTCTACTGTTGATACTGTGTTATCTAGTATTGTAAGAGGTGGTTTACCTAGTTTGGGTAATGAAACGTCTGCAAGAAAACTACCAGAGAGAGAGCACCCAGGACCCCTCATTTCAACCCAAGCTACACATATTCTCCTTTAATTCAACTTTGTTGTAAAGCTACATTAACAGAATCTTGTAATTTCCCCCATGCCTCCTTTACAGCCTGAGAAACTAAGGAGGGTCTCTTCTTTCTCCTTCCATTATGCACTTGTGGGCTACGCAGCCTCTTATCTGACCATGCCCTAGGCACCCTCTCTTTGCTCCATCCATCTGCCAAGGTCTTCTCCACATACCATTACAAGATTTCTGCTCCGTGAACACCCTTTGGACTGACCTGTTCGGATGCAAGCCAAGCTGAGCAGCCACCACTCGGGGACCCTTGGAAGTATCATCAGGAGTCGATTGCCCTTGCACAGGTTACAGGCCTCTGAGAGCACATTGGCAGTCTTCCTAGTCAAGTAGCTCAGCTCCTCAAAGGTCCACTTCACCTCTTCCCCCTTCTCTCTAACCCACCAGAAGGCTGGATTGGGAGGCCTCTTCCCTTCCTGGCAGACAATGTAAGAGAAACGATATGGACACCCTCAGAGATAGAACGGTCTCCTGGTCTTGAAGTCTGACTTAGCAGTAAATCTTACTCTATTTTTCTATCTTTAGACCACTCTGCAATCCCTTTTATCAGGGTGGAGTCTGGGCGACTGAATGAAGCTGAGCGTTTACTGGCTGAATGCCCTTCCTGACACCTGCACGGAGTTCACAGCAGATACTGTATTTTGGCATCCTAATAGAGAAACATCAGTCACTGCCTAGAATTGAACTCTCAACCTTCTGAGTGGGAGATGGGTGTCTTCCACCCATCTCTAGGCCACTGCACTGCTCAGTAAATTTTACTGGATTATTTAGGGTCATGATGGTGAACCTATGGCACGGGTGTCACAGCCAACTTACCTGCACTGTGCATGCATGTGCTTCCCAGTTGATTTTTGGCACGTTTTAGGCCGTTTTCGCCCTCCCGGCAGCTCGAGGGAGGCCTCTGCAGCTTCAGGAGGCCAAAAAAACGGGCCCATTTCATCACTTCTGGGAAATACTGGAAACCAACCGGGAGGCGCGTGTGCACAGTGTAGGTAAGGAGAGGATGTTGCGCACGCATGTGCAGGGGGAACAGAGCGCAGTGTATTGTGAGTGCTGGCATGCGCACGCTTTCAGCACACCACAACAAAAAGGTTCGCCATCCCTGACTTAGGACAATTGTAGAATGTTATTGGTCGGTAGAGGATAGTCCTTGACTTACAACCAGATTTGAAGTTACAACAGCCATGAAAAAAGGGACAACTGAACTTTGCAGTGACAACCATTGCAACATTCCCACAATCACATCATCAAAATTCAGGTGCTTCACCACCAGCACATATTTACAATGGTCATGGGATTGCCACTTTGAAAACCAAAGTCAATGGGGGAAAGCCAGATTTGCTTAATAGCAGCACAACTTACTTTACAACAAAATACATAATACATGCCGGCTACAAAGCATGGCCACAAAGCCTGTGACCATGGAGAGGCTACAACGGTTGTAAGTGCAAGAAACAGTCATAAATAACTTTTTCAGTCCCATTGTAATTTCAAATGGTCACTAAATGAATGATTGTAAATCAAGGACTACTTGTATGATAATTAAGTTAACAGCCCGAATTAACCACGATTAATTGTCAAGAGTCACCTTAAAGTTGAATTCTTTCTCTATATATTATTAGAGAATTAAAAGGAAAGCTAATAGAAATTCTCCAGAAATTTTATGCAGCCTTACCTTTTCTCTTTGGCTCCATTTGTCAAGGACATCGCTTGCAAAATTAAAATATTCTGGCACATCTCGAGGCTCAGATTCTGAGTTAGCCAGAGATGTAAATGCATGAGTGGTTTGATGGTTGAATTTGCAAGGGAGCGTAGGAACAGTGGCAGACTGGAACCGAGGGAGTCTGGAGAGAAACTTCATAGCACCAACCATGGGTAATATCTCATCTAGCTAAAGTAAAGAGGGAGTAAAATTGAGGGAGCGAATTGTGATGAAGGTTAAACAAGGAAGCCAATGAGCTTGCAGGGTCCACGCTGCCTAACAGCCAAGCAGAAATGTATTTTTATGGCCTCGGGTTTCAGGCTGTAATAGTAGGGATGACCTTGATAGACCTTGGTGCATCTTGGTAGTCATGAAGATCTTAAAAAAGATATTCCAATGTTGAGATGTGTCTATATCTACACTGATCAGAATCGTCTAATTATGGTATTCAATAGGAAGCAAAAAGATTCTGAAGACGCAAGAATAGAAAAAGTATTGGTACCTTTTGAAGTTGGGTGTTGGAGAAGCCTCTTGAAAAGGCCAAGAAGATGTTCCAATGAGGGGGTTCTTGATGTTCTCCAAGCTGGATTGTCTGTATTACTATTATTCTTCTCATCCTTCCTTGTACCTATCTCTTCCCCCGCTTATGACTATAACCTGTTGCTTGTATCTTTACAATTTATGTTGTTTTTTTTTTATTGCCTGGCATGATTTGATGGCTTATTAGTAACCTATGACTACCACTAAGTGTTGTATCTTATGGTTCTTGATGAATGTATTTTTTTCCTTTATGTACACTGAGAACATATTCCTTGTGTGTCCAATCACACTTGGCCAATAAAGAATTCTATTCTATTCTATTCTATTCTATTCTATTCTATTCTATTCTAT